AGCCTGTGCGCGTGTGACCTGTGTCCTACAGCCTGTGCGCGTGTGACCTGTGCGCGTGTGACCTGTGTCCTACAGCCTGTGCGCGTGTGACCTGTGTCCTACAGCCTGTGCACGTGTGACCTGTGCGCGTGTGACCTGTGTCCTACAGCCTGTGCGCGTGTGACCTGTGTCCTTCAGCCTTTGTGCTGTGCAAACTTATGGAATATTTAAGGCACTCAGTCCATTAAAGTGATGTTGGTGTGTAGCTGACTGGGTTAGGCCTGTGTGCCTGTGATCGGCAGGTCATCGGCTCAAATCACTTTGCTCTCTTCTGTATAAATGTCTGTCTCAAGAAGGAGAGCAAGATGGGGTATGTGAAAATCAAAGAATTCCAATGTACCTCTACCTATACTTATACAGAAGTATCTTTTCTTTTCATTAAGTTCAATCTACTGCCATATTCCCAGAGGATACCGGCAGGATTTTGGCACTCCAACTGCATAATTAGGCTGGTAGAGAGCAGTAGGTAGAATTTAGGCCCTGCCACTCATTCATTTTACTAGTTATTTCTTTTCCTGCAGTGTTTTTTTTTTTTTTTGTAAGCGGATGATCCGCAGTCTCGCTGCCTTTGAGCGCCAGAACATGCTGTTATCGGGTGTAAATATATTCCTGTACCCTGCAGAAAAAAGACCCGGCGCAGTTTCTGCAAGTCCACGGCCGGGCCTACAAGATCCACTTGGACTCCGCCGTGGCTTTGGCTGCCGAAAGTCCTGTCAACATGTGAGTTTAGAGGAGCCTCAGGCCTCTGAGGGGCTTTTCTCTGTGGCAGGCTTCCAGGTTGATGCCCTTGTTTAGTGTTCCTTAAAGCTAAAGGCTGCATGGTCCAAGTGTGTCCCGTTTCACAGCTTTAAAATAAACCCTGAGGTCACAACTTTATACACGAACTGTAGATATATTAAAATGGATCATCTTCCACCTTGTGACTCTGTCCAGGATGCCTTGGCAAGGAGACACCAACAACATGATTGATAGGTTCGACGTCAGGGCACATCTGGACTACATCCCTACCTATACTCCTCCACTGCTGAGCACTGTGTATGTACAATATGTGGTGTTACTACAATTAAAATTTGAATTTTGCTCTTGGAAAAGTGTCCTGGGTGCAGTAATCGTCTTACAAGGGGGATATTTGGCACAGCTTTCCTGATCAGTTCGGTGATCAAATATGATGATGTCATCTTTTTTTTTTTATATATATAAGTGCTTATTGATTAACTGTTTTTGTTTTGTTTTTTTGTCGTCATCTCATTGTTAACAACACGCTTTATGTCTGCAGCCCTGCAGAGCAGGAGTCAGAAGAGAGGAAATGCAACTATGAGCGCTACAGAGGACTTGTGCAGAATGACTTTGCTAGCAGTAAGTCTAATGGCTCTTTAAAAAATATAAATAAAGGGATGATATGAATTTTCAGGCATGACTTGTTTACATAATCTAACCAGAGGTGTTTGCTTGTCTTGCAGTTTCGGAGGAGCAGTGCCTGTACCAGATCTACGTAGACGAGCTGTACGGAGGCCTGCAGAGGTCAAACGAGGAAGAGAAAAAGAAGTGAGTCCAGCATTGACTGCTATCCGATACAAATGGAACGTCTAAATGGTGGTAATCTACTGAATGAGGTCACCGAATGCATGATATTCAAACCCCTAGACTCTCGGAGAAGAAGGCAACTATTGGCTACACCTACGAGGACAGCACCGTGACAGAAGCAGGCAGGGTGTCTGACAAAGGGGAAGATGAGGACTCCGAGAACAGCGAGTCGGATGAGGATGAGGGCATCCCTGACATCGGTGAGCGGGCTGACCGGCGGCTGCCCCCCCGCCAAATACCCCTGGCTTTTAGTGCTCATTCATTCTTAAAAGCTCATTCATTCTTAACCTGTGGGTGTTTTTGCACGACTTCAGATGTGGAGGTGGATGTAGATGAGCTCAACCAAGAGCAGGTGCTGGAACTGAACAAGATGGCCACGCCGTACGGAATGACTGAGGGGGACTTCGTCAGGTGGGCGTGTCTCTGCGTCGCCTACGATTGGTGGAACACAAATCAGATCAAACTAGCAAGGATTTGCAACATAATAATTAAGTGGTTTAGTTACTAATAGTGTATTAAAATTTAGTTCATGCCATCAGAATATCATGCATAAAGCTAATCTATTTTGTTTAGATTGGTTTTTATAATTACTTGGTATAACGTGTATCTTCCTCTCATTGAAATAGCTGATTTTTTTTTTTGGGGGGTTTTAAATTAGCTGTTAAATGCCTTTTTAACTACTTGGTGGTTTTATATATTGGAGTTACTCCATTAAAAGCAGCAGTGTCTCTGTTTCATAGCTTTGCCCTTTTTGAGTTTGTTCTAAATTTCTATGAAATGTTAATTTTCTCTTTCCTGTGACTTATAAAGTAACTATGTAGTGGGTTATTCATTTTGCTCTCAAAAGAAATTGTTTTCTGGATATTTTCTTATACTGTAATTAATCTTTTTAAACCCAATACACTGAGCAAACCTAAGTATCCTAAGGAATTCACAGTTAATGAAACCTTCAGCCGGGCGACTTATTTTTACACGAGTGAGCAGTGCTGCCAATGCCAGGTTCGTTGGTAACGTTGAGACGTCCGGAAGTCTGATACGCAGAAGCCACACGATCTGCGAGCGATCTCGGAGAGCGTTTGAGCCTGCCTGGGCTGACCGGTGCCTTTGCTCGGCAGGATGCTGAGGAAAGACAAAGAGGAAGTGGAAGCCATAAAACACGCCAAGGCGCTGGAGGCCGAGAAGGCCATGTACTCGGTAAGGAGAGAAGGCTCCGCCCCCCCTAGACCTCCGTCAGTCATATAAGGATCCGTGTGTCGCTGCATGTCTGTCACGGTTTTTCATTTTTTTTTTAATTCATTTCTGACTAATGCTACAGATCATTAGTTTGTCGTTTTGGCGTCGTTTTCATAGGGCCGACGTTCTCGCAGGCAACGGAGGGAATTTAGGGAGAAGAGACTTAAGGGTAGACAAATCAGCCCCCCCAGGTAACCCTTCCCTAGAAGATTTGATATCTAGCATGATCCCTCATATCAGGTTGATGAGGGCGGGCGGTTCCTCCATGTTGACTGTTCCTGTGTTGATTTTAGCTATGCCAGGAGAGACAGCCCAACCTACGACCCCTACAAACGGTACGATATCTTGTCATTTGTGTATGTAACTGCTTAAAATAGTATTTTCATGGACTGATAAATGCTCCAAGTATGAGCATTTTATTTACTCGCGACCAGCATTGTAATAAAAGTTCAGCTGGAGGTGAATCGGTCTCCTGTCACCCCCGCAGCCCGCAGTCAGAGTCCAGCTCGGAGTCCCGGTCCCGCTCACGCTCTCCGGGACACGACAAGATCACCTTCATCACCAGCTTTGGGGGTAGCGACGAGGAGGGGGCCGCCCCTGCCCCGCCACAGCCGGCCGCCCACACCAGCCACGCCCCCCCCAACTCTCAGCACCACCACCCCGCAGGTCATAGCAGGGGCTCCCGGTCGGTAACTTTCCTCTCCTACTTTTCATTGGTCGTCTCCTCCTGTCAATCACTCGTTTCCTCCCCCTATCCCCGTCGAGATGCGAATTATATTTGGGAAATTAACGGTGTTGGGGTGGAGGAGGACGAAAAAAAAATTAAGCTCGCCATGTGATCCTTGGCCTGCAGTTTGATTTATGCAAAACACTCAAGCAGAATTGCCTGCTTAACAGATCATAAAAAGCATTTACTTTGGTGACTTTAGAAGAGATGCGTTGTAAGCTCAGTTCATAAGGGGATTGAACCCCATGGTTGTCTGACAGTTTGTGTGCTGCAGGAAGTGTGTGTTTGGTGGTGGTGGTGGTGGTGGGGGGGGGGTTGCATAGAACATGTTTGGGGACCATAATTTCATTTTTCAGGTTGCCATTTGGATAACCTCAGTTTCACAAAAAGAAAATCTGTGAATGCAATCAGAAACTAAAAATGCCAGAAGTCTTATATTTTGTTTAGTTACTTGTGGTTCAGGTTATGGCTGGGTAGGGATTAAGGACGTCTTGATTGGGATTAGGGTCCCATAGAAATGAGGGGAAGGTCCTCATTTGGAGGGGTGTGTGTGTGTGTGTGTGTGTGTGTGTGTGTGTGTGTGTGTGTGGCTGGGTGGGTGGGATTAATACACAGTCATTTATGGCAGTTTTTCTCAACCTGGTCCTTGGGGACCCCCAGACAGTCCATGGTTTCACTCCTTCCCAGGTCCCTCGCAGACATTCCAGGGAGCAAAAACGTGGACCGTCTGGTGGTCTCTGCGGACCGGGTTGAGAAGCGAATTTATGGGATCCGATTTCAGAAGTTTTTCCTTCACCATCATCTTTTCGTGATTTTTAAAAAACAAATGGTTCCAGACCTAAGTGTGTCTACGTGGAGACACACAAGCTCGTTTGATCACGAACACCTCTCTTAATTAACGTCGCCTCTCAGGAAAGAGGCCCAATGAGTGACTCTGTCCCCCATGTGTGTGTGTGTCTCTGTTTAGCAGACGCCGGTCCTCTTCCAGCCCATCTTCTTCCTCCTCCTCCTCGTCCTCCTCCTCCCGCTCTTCATCCCGGCGCTCGTCGTCCCGCTCGTCCAGCCGGTCGCGCCGCGCCCATCGTCGCGGCGGCCGGGACGCCAGATACTCGCGTTCCCGCTCCCGATCCCGTCGTTCCGACTCCTGGTCCCGGGGGCGGGGCGGCGGCGGGATCCGGCGGCGGCATGGCCGGTCCCGATCGCGTTCCCGCTCACGCTCCACTGACAGAGGGCGGCGTCACGTGGCCCGGAGGCGCAGCAGGTAGGAGCGAACCCCACACGTCTGGGAATACCGCGGTGAGACGCCCTGGAAGCAGCAGTCAGGAGAAGGAGGAATTTTCATTTGTGTATTTTTTTCTTAAATTGTAACATTATCCATCTATCTTCCAACTGCTTAACCAGTATAGGGTTGCGGGGGCCCTCAGGCCTGTCCCTAGTGTAGGGGGCAAGGTCCGGATACAGGGAATTATGGGAAATTTAGAGACACCAGTCAGTCTGCCTTTTCTTTGCGATGTCGGAGGAAGCTTACATGACATGGGGGAGAACATGCAAACTACACAAAGCATGGATGGGATTCAAACCCACAACCCTGAAGGTGTGTGGCAACAGCGCCCCCTGCTGAGCCACTGATTTTGTATGAATTACATATGGGAACTTGATCTTTGGGGGAAACGTAACTTTATATTGTTGAAAGGGCAGTGGATAGCGCAGCTATTCAGAATTGTTGGTTCAGATCTTGGTACGGTAAAAGTACAATTAGTGTTAATGGACAGTAACTTTTATCCAGTGTGTGCATTAACTTGTGCCAGTCATACACAAAGACTCTAGGTTTACAGACCAGTTAAACTGACAGTTACAGGCTTACAGACAGGTCGACTGGAGACTTATTTCTCATTGTTCTGATCATTAATCTGTTCAATGCTTTATTCAGCTTAGCTCTGTGTGTAATATGAATATAATGTGGTCAACGGCTCTTCCCAGTTGCCCTAGACCACGCGGTCACCATCCAATCGATCACCATCTACAGGTCGATCTTTCAGGCACTTTAAGAGAAGTTAACGGGGCCCCATACGGGCAGCAAAATATACCCACCCCTACTTATCAACTTTTGCTATCTTGTAAAAGTTGCTCTGACTGTTAGTAAGGTTGGAGATCACTGCCCTGGAGTGCTTTACATATATAAACAGACACAGCACACTCTGCAAGTTGGGGAGGGGGGAGTGGTATCGCTGTTGGTGTGATGATGGTGAATGCTGTTATCGTCACGCCGGCCGCTGTCTGGGATCGTGACGTAACTCACCTTTCCTGTTCCCACCAGGTCTCGCTCGGGCTCTCGGACCGGGGACCGTTTGCGTCGGCAGGGCCGCAGTGCCGGCTCTCGCCGCGGGGGCAGCAGCAGCGCCAGCCCCCCCCTGTCCCCCGCGCACAGCCGCTCCCCCTCCCCCGCCCTCCGGCACGCCGCTTCCGCCACAGTGGCTCTCTGTGACAAGCTAAGAAAGTGAGTCCCACCCCCCAATTTCAAAAATGGCGAGAGCCGTCGCACGGTATTCCCCGCCGGACTGACCGAGCTTCTCCTCTCCCTCTAGGCCTGACATTCCTGCCGGTAAAGAGACGGGAGCTGCCAAAGTCAGTAAGAATTTGATCTGGCTGTGTTTGTTGCTAAAGTCCGCGCCTCAAATCTGACAGGCTGACAGGGTCATCACTCAGGCCAGGGAGTCCGCCCCCTTCCTGCTCAGAGGCTGCCCCTCCCCTTCCCCACGCACACGTTCATTTCCAGCTCGAATGCCTTAATTCTCTTTGTGACACGTATACACACACATGCACTCGGAGGCTGGATGTCTGCGCCCTGTCTGTCGCTGACTGGACGCAAGGAATTAAGATGCATTTTTTCCCCCCCTCCTCTTCTGTTTGTGCTTTTCTTTGCCTGTATATCTGTACAATGTCTGTGTGGTAGAGAGAGGTGAGGCCCCCAGCTTGTTATACATCTGTGGGATTTGCGTGCTCCTGTTAAATTCATTTATTCATGTATTATGTAGCTTTTTGTTTGTGTGTAGTTGGGGCGGGGAGGGGGGGGGGGTTGGGTTGTATTGACCACAAGAGAGCATGTTCTGGCCTCGGGGAGGGAAGAGTCTCTTTGTGATCTCTGGGTCGTCCGGGACGTCTGTCCTCGAGTTTGTTTAGCCTTGGCGTGTCACGGCACACATGCTGTGTGTTGGATAACAAGGTGAGCAGGCGGAGGAGAGAGAGAGAGAGAGAGAGAGAAAGAGAGAAGGACAGTGAGGCCCAGGTGTAGCGCTGCAGGGCGAGGGTGGTCACGGAATTTCAGCAGGCTTGTCAGGGCAGGCAGAAGCAAGCAAACAGCAAACCAGTCACACAGGATGGAGGACGGAAACCTACATTTTTTTATTTAATTATTTATGAGGGGGTTTATGTTCAGGGTGATGGACAGCAGGGAGACTCTGGATTGGGGCGAGTGTGACTGGGGTGCGCGAAGACAGTGTAGTTCCCCACAGCGGTGAAATGGCCGCCGCCCGCTCTGGCAAATCCCCGCCTGTCCCAGACTAGCATGGCGAGCAGAGATGTCGCTCCGGGCGGGAGAGACGATATCAGAGGGGCGGGATTGATGTTGACCAAACTTGTATGCGAGTATGACTGCACGCCCAAGCACCTGGGATTCGGGCAGTACCTGAACGGCAGAAGCAGCCCCCACCTCGGACGGAAGCCGTGGGGGGGGGGGGGATGCCCCCATTCAGCAGTCTGAGCCGAGCCCCCCCAGCCTCCACCCCCTGCTTCTTAACTCACTCGACTCGGTCCAGCCTTCTGAGCTGCCCGCTTTGTTAGGAAAGGCGTCTCTTTGTCTGATTGTGTGTGTGTGTGTGTGTGTGTGTGTGTGTGTGTGTG